TATTCATAAATTCAAATCATTTTTTATTTTTAACATTGTTTTAAATTATTTCTTATTTTTTTCTTTATTTTTTCCTTTTAAAAAACTTATTAATAATATATTTTTTCTTGTATATTTAAAAAGTGGAAATATTGGCAATTAAGATATTTCAGGCTTAGGAATTGCTTTAACAAATTGCACTAATCTCTCAAATTTGACACTTTATCTTTGGTAAAAACAGTTTATTTATTTTGGATTATGATATTTTTATTTATAAAAATGAATATAAAACAATTAAACTCTTTTAATTTGTTTATAAGCTTTAAATTAGATTTTTTAATCTTTTTTATAAATGTACTTTTTTTTATTTCTTCTATATTTCATAATTTCACTCATTTTTTATTTTTAACATTTGCTTTTATTATTTGTTTAAATTATTTCTTATTTTTTTCTTTATTTTTTCCTTTTAAAAAACTTATTAATAATATATTTTTTCTTGTATATTTAAAAAGTGGAAATTAAATTGGTGATTAAGATATTTCAGGCTTAGGAATTGCTTTAACAAATTGCACTAATCTCTCAAATTTGACACTTTATCTTTGGTAAAAACAGTTTATTTATTTTGGATTATGATATTTTTATTTATAAAAATGAATTTAAAACAATTAAACTCTTTTTATTTGTTTATTAACTTTAAATTAGATTTATTAATCTTTTCTTTTTTATAGTTTTTGTATTTGTATTTTTTTTTTATTTCATAATTTTTATCATTTTTATTTACAATATTTGCTTTTATTATTTGTTAATTAATTTCTGATAATTTCATATTTTTTCTTCTTTTTTTCCTTCTAAATAGTTTATTAATTATATATTTTTTTCTTGAATATTTAAAAAGTGCAAATGAAATTGGTGATTAAGGTACTTTAGGCTTAGGAACTGCTTTAGCAAATCGCACTAATCTCTTAAATTTGACACTAGATCTTAGGTAAAATAATTTATTTGTTTTGTTAGGATTGTGATATTTATATTTATAAAAATGAATTTAAAGCAATTAAACTTTTTTAATTTGTTTATTAGCTTTTAATTAGATTTATTAATCATATTTTTTTTTTATTGTATTTGTGGTTTTTATTTCTTCTATATTCCTAAATAATTTATAAATAAAATATTTTTTCTTGAATATTTAAAAAGTGGAAATTTAATTGGTAATTAAGGTACTTCAGGCTTAGGTTCTTCTTTAGCAAATTGCATAAATCTTACAAATTTGATACTTTATCTTAAGTAAAAACAGTTTTTTATTTTGGATTGTGATATTTATATTTATAAAAATTAATTTAAAACAATTTAAGCCTTTTAATTTATTTATTAACATTTAATTAGATTTATTTATCTTTTTTTTATGATTCTACTTGTGTTTTTATTTCTTCTATACTTCATAATTTCACTCATTTTTTATTTTCAATATTTGCTTATATTACTTATTAACTCATTTCTTATAATTTCATATTTTTTTTTCATTTTTCCTTCTAAATAACATAATAATTATTTTTATTTCTTGAATATTTAATAGTTAAAATTAAATTGGTGATTAAGGTACTTCAGGTTTAGGAACTGCTTTAGAAAACTGCACTAATCTCTCAAATTTGTCGCTTGAACTTAGGTAAAAACAGTTTATTTGTTTTGGATTATGACATTTCTATTTATAAAATGAATTTAAAGTAATTAAACTCTTTTGATTTGATTATTAGCTTTTTATTAAATTTATTAATCTTTTTCTTTTTTATTGTAATTGTATTTTTTCTATCTTTTTAATTAATTTATGAATTATATTTTTTTTCTTTAATATTTAAAAAGTTACAATTAAATTGGCGATTAAGGTACTTTAGACTTAAGTTCTGCTTTATCGAATTGCACTAATCTCTAAAATTTGACACTTAATCTTAGGTAAAAACAGCTTATTTGTTTTGGATTGTGACTGTTTTATTTATAAAAATGAATTTAAAGCAATTAAACTCATTTTGTTTGTTAATAATTTTTAATTAGATTTATTTATTAATCTTTTTCTTTTTTATTATAATTGTGTTTGTATTTTTTCTATCTTTCTATATAGCTTATTAATAATATATTTTTTTCTTAAATATTTAAAAAGTGGAAATTAAATTGGAGATTAAGGTACTTTAGGCTTAAGTTCTGCTTTATCAAATTGCACTAATCTCTAAAATTTGACACTTGATCTTAGGTAAAGCAGCTTATTTGTTTTGGATTGTGAATTTCTATTTAAAAAAATTAAACTCTTTTAATTTGTTTATTAGCTTTAAATTAGATTTATTTATTAATCTTTTTTTAGTATTTTTTATTTTTATTTCTTCTATATTTCATAATTTCACTATATTTTTTTTTCCGGCATTTGTTTTATTTTTTGTAAATTCGTTTCTTATAATTTCATATTTTTTCTTCATTTTTTCCTTATAAATAACTATTAATCATATATATTTTATTGGATATTTATAAAGCAGAAATTAAATTGGTGATTAAAGTACTTCAGGCTTAGGTTCCGCTTTAACAAATTTCACTAATCTCTCAAATTTGACACTTGATCTTGGGTAAAAACAGTTTATTTGTTTTTGATTGCGACATTTCTATTTATAAAAATGAATTTAAAACAATTAAACTTTATTAGTTTTAAATTAGATTTATTAATCTTTTTTTAATTGTTGCTGTGTTTGTATTTCTTCTATCTTTTTAAATAACTTATTAATTATATATTTTTTCTTTAATATTTAAAAAGGCTTAATTAAATTGGTGATTAAGGCATTTCAGCCTTAGGTTCTGATTTATCAAATTGCACTAATCTCTCAAATTTGAAGCTTTTTCTTAGGTAAAAAAAGATTATTTGTTTTTGATTGTGATATTTCTATTTATAAATGAATTTAAAACAATTAAGCTCTTTTAATTTGTTTATTAGTTTTATTAGATTTATTAATCTTTTTCTTTTATATTTGTATTTCTTCTATCATTCTAATAACTTATTTATTATATATTTTTTCTTGAAATATAAAAAGTGCAAATTAAATTGGTGATTAAGGTACTTCAGGCTTAGGCTCTGCTTTAGCAAAATGCACTAATATCTTAAATTTAACACTTGATATTCGGTAAAAGCATTTTATTTGTTTTGGATTGCGATAATACTATTTATAAAAATGAATTTAAAACAATTAAACTCTTTTAATTTGTTTATTAGTTTTAAGAAGATTTATTAATATTTTTCTTTTTTATTGTACTTGAATTTTGTATTTCTTCTATCTTTCTAAAAAACTAATAAATTTATTATTTTTTCTTGAAATATAAAAAGTCAAAATTAAGTTGGTGATTAAGGTACTTCAGGTTTAGGAACTGCTTTTGCAAATTACACTAATCTCTCAAATTTGATGCTTGATCTTAGGTAAAAACAATTTATTTGTTTTTCAATTGCGATATTTCTAATTATAAAAATGAATTTAAAAAAATTAAACTTTTTAAAACTGTTTATTAGCTTTTAATTAAATTTTTTAATCTTTTTTTTATAATTGTACTTGTGTTTTTATTTATTTTATTATTCATAATTTCACTCTTCTTTATATTTTCAACATTTGCTTTTAAAATTAGTTAATTCCTTTCTTATAATTTCATATTTTTTCTTCTTTTTTTCATTCTAAATAACTTTTTAACAAAAAATATTTTCTTGAATATTAAAAAGTGGAAATTAAATTGGTTATTAGGGTATTTCAGACTTAGGTTCTGCTTTAGTAAATTGCACTAATCTCTCAAATTTGACACTTTATCTCGGGTAAAAACATAGCAGTTTATTTTTTTTTGGATAGTGATATTCTATTTATAAAAATGAATTTAAAACAATTAAACTCTTTTAATTTGTTTAATGATTTTTATTAGATTTAATTATCTTTTTCTTTTTTATTTTGCTATTGCTTATTTTATTTAATTTTAAATATAATTTTTAATTAAAAAATTTTATTCTATTTAATTTTTTTAAGTATATTATTTAAATTTAATATAATTTAATAATAGAAACTAAATCAACGAATAATAATAATAATTGAAGCTAAAAAACAAATATCTGAAATCAAAAAGATTTGTTGTCTTTAAAATATATTGCTGGTGATAAACAAGTAATGAAAAAGGATGAATAAATATTAAATATTTGATTAGTATAAAATAATATGTTTTCTTTTATATTATTATGTAATATGATAATTTAACCAAAAATATAAATTGATAGATTTATTTTTATATTTATATTTATCAATATCATATTTATTTTGGTAAGTTAGTCGTAACTTATTAAATATATGAGAGTTGATAAATTAAATTTATACTCATACCCCGCTGATTTTTTGCAAGTTCAATTTAAAAATTTTGTTGTAAAATAATTATTTATTTTTGAAATTATAATAAATTAAATTAATAATTAATTATAATTCTATTATAAAATATATATAATTTAGATTTTTTAATAAATAAATAAAAAATATATTTCATAATAAGTCATGAAATTTTTGTATGGCATCTTGCTATAATTAGAGATGTTATAAATATTCCAAAATTAGAGAGCTAAAACAGAAAAATCTACTTATAAACATTGTTTTTATAATATTTAAGAACTTTAACTACAAGGTTTTTTTCAAATATGACTAAATAAATAACTAGCCATCTCTAATTCCTACTATATTTTAAAGTATATATTTTAAATACAAATATTAAGTTTAAATAGTGAATGTTAAATTAATTTGATGCGATATCTCTTCATAGAACCAAACATATAAATTAATATTTGATAATTAATTATTATATTTATTTGTTCTTTTTATCCATTAATAATTAATTAATTAATTAAATTTCATAAATTGCTATTCAATATTTTTGAAAGAAAAATAAATGATGTAATAGATTAAAAAGTATTTTAATCTGGAAGAAGTAATTATTAATTTTTTTATTAATATCCTTTAAATTTATATAAATTAATAAAAAAAGTTTTTAAGCTCTTCACTTTTATCTCATTAGGTTCTCCATATTGATCTGAAGTATATTTAATTAAAAAATATTATTTTTATTATTATTAATATTTTTTGTATATTTAATTATCAATTTATTTAAATAAACAATTTTTATAAACAAAATTATCATCATTACTTATTGATTTTTGTTAAAACTAAAATTTTTTAGCTATTTTAACTTAATTTTCATTTCAATTTTTAATTAATTATTATTCATTTTTTATCATTTGATATTTTTTCTTCATTTTATGCTATTAAAACTTACACTTAATAAAAGCTATTTATTTGTTTTACATTGTAATATTTTTAATTATAAAAGTTAATTTAAAACATTATAGTTCTTTTAATTTATTTGATTTGTTTTCTTTATTCTTTTTAATATGATTTCTTAATTTTTCATTCTTTGTTAATTTTATTAATTATTAATTAATCTTATCATATTTTTTCTTCATTTATTCCTCCAAAATTAACTAGA